AGTGGACAGCTGTTTATGGACTCAGGAATGAGTCCTTTACATTTTTCTGTTGATTTAAAGAAAGCCTGTCCTATATTTTGTGTCTTATTAGCCTGAATGCTCACATGAGTACTTTGGACCTTTTCCTTTCCTTTTTTTTTTTGTGGAGTCTTAGACATAAAGCAAATTTTAATGTTTCCTGGGGAAACCCTGGGTGAAGTCTTGAGCCTAATCATTGTCTTCTTGACACACTGTAGTTTGTTAACAATAATTAAAAAGAAGCCTCCAGGATTTAATGTTGTCCATGTGAATCCAAAGTCTTGGTTCTAGGGTCAGAGGTTATACTTCCATATACATCTTTTTTTAAAATTAAGGCTGATCAGTGAGTTCTCCGTGTGTGTACGTCAGTGGAAAACATCCTTCTTTAGAGGACCTCCCTTTTCCTTATTATTGGAATCATTTATATTTGTCTTACCAGAATTTTGTCCTTAAGGGCTTCCCATCCCTCTTGGGTCATCCTCCCCTGGAGAATTTTAAGCCACACGATCCTACCTATCCTTTACCTGAATTCTTTGGAATCAGCTTTTCCCAAATCCCAGGTACATGACAGCCTGACACCATGACACCCTGCTTATCTACAGTGAGCTCTAAGATGGAGTGGTCTGTGTTCTCTTAATTTCTGTCATTTCTGCTTCTAAAACCAAACCATCTTACTAGTCTGAATGTTCAAATCACAGAATTTCAGTGTAGGGAGGGACCTCAAAGTTCATCTAATTCAGCTCATACCTAAACAGAAATTCCTTTTACAATAACCTTAATGAGTGGTCATTTTTCCTTTAATGGAACTCCTCCAGTGATGGGGTTTCCCTGACTTATGAACTAATTTTATTCTTGTATCTCCCTCTAATTGAATTATGGTATAGTGGAAAGACCATTGCCCTTGAAACCAGGACAGATCTGAGTTCAAATCTCACCTCTGCCTGTGATCTCTAAACCTCAATTTCTTCTTTACCTGTAAAATAGAGATTATAATATATTCAGTCTCTCCTTCATAAAGTTGTTGTAAGGACTGAATAAGATAATGTATGCAAAACACTCAGCAAACTTAAAAGGCTATACAAAAGTCAATAATTATTATTCCATGGAATCTTCCTGGTCCTCCTAGTCTTACCTCCTGGAGTCGTCTAATCTCTTGTCTAAATAACATCCCTTCAAACACTTGAAGGCCACTCTGATTATGTCTCTCTTAACACTTCTCCATGCTAAACAAAATGAGTTCCTTTGAGAGATCCTCATACAGTATAAGCTGAAGGCTATTAACCATTCTGGTGACCCTTCTCTGAACATATTCTTTTGTCAATTTCCTCCTTAAAATATGTTGGCTAACACTGAACAAAATATTCTAAATTGCAGAATTGCAGCTTTTCTCATCACTGCCTCTGTTTTGAAGAATGAAATTGTCATTGAAGTAAGTCAGGAATTTATCAGCAGTTCTGCCTTCAGCAAAGAGGATAAAGATCAGATATTCAGATCATTGACGTCCCCCATCAGCATTCTACAATGACTCTATACCACGTGTCAGTTTTGTGACCTGTTTCCAGAACTCAACATCCATTGCTTCCTCCTGCCTGGGTGGCCTCTAGAATACCTTCACTACAATATTTTTATTTTCCTCCAGATCCTTACCAGGCTTATTATCTTAAACTTAAGTTGGCTAAGGTGAACTTAAGTCATATTGAGCCACAAAGGTATTATAGACATTTTAGAAAGATTTTTAAACCAAAATGATCAAAATAGGAGTTACTCAATAAATATTCGTTGAACAGATGAAATGAAACATGGATAAATCTTCCATCAACTAAAAAATAAACCCCGCCATTACTCCCCCTGGAAAGGTGGGTGGTATAACGGAAAGAACACTGGATTCAAAGTCAAAGGACTTACTGTAGGTTCCATGCCTTCTATGATCACTTATTTCCTGTGTGGCCCTGAGCAAGTTACTTAACCTTTCTGGAGGGCCTCAGTTTCCTCATCGGTCAAGTGAGGAGATTAGACTTGATGGTCTCTGGGATGCCTTCCAGATCTAAATCTATGCCCCCTTAGTGTTCTCGCTTCTCTGGGTTTGACTACATTATCAATCTGAGAGGACATTAGACTCTTATGTAACATCAGCTGATGTCCTTTTCCTAGAATAAGGCCCTTTCTATGAGAATGATCTCTGGCTGCTGAGCAAAGACAGGGAACAATAGGCTTCCTGGGCCAGCACTGAGCTTGATGATGCATGGAGGTGAAGAGCCTGGGCCAGAAGGTCTCAAGTGTCTGTAGGGTGTGGCCCTTGGATTTTGCCCCATCAGATGAATGATGATGACAGGAAGCATGGATGACTTTGGTTTCCTCCCACTAAGCTTCCTGTTCTCATTTGCTGACTCTGACTCTGGCTTGGGCATCCACACTCCCACTGTGGGTTTTCTCTTCTTTTCCCTTCGGTCTTTCTCTCCCAAGTCCCAACCTAACCTCCTAGAAGTCAGTGTCCTCACCTGCCCTTCATTTTCTGATGCCTCATCCACTTTGAGGATAAGACACTGAGTGTGTGGTTCCTGGGGGTGGGACTGGAGTGGAGTTGGGGAAAGTTGGGGAGAAGCATTTAAAAGGAGAACAGAATGTTGGAGAGTGTAACACTTAATCCAGGAGAATGAAACAAATGGTGAAATTTTAGGAAATCACAGACAGGAGAGGCAGGATCTTTGTATGGCCATTAACCTTAAAATATTTAACCTTCAAAAAAAATTTATCGTTCAAAAAGGTCTTCACGACTATGTAAAAAGTTACGTATGTTCTGTGTATTGATGTAGCTTTGAAGAGATTTTTGAAAGATGGAAATGGTTTTTTTAATGCTAATTAGGTTATGTCTCTGGCTCTCTGTGTCTCTCTCCCTCCCCTCCCCCTCCCCTTTTCTGGTAAGGTTATAGTCTAGGTGGAAAACTGGACAGAGCACTGGGGTTGGAATCAGGAAGACTCATGTTCATGGGTTCAAATCTGGCCTCAGACACTTACTTAGCTGTGTGACCCTGGGTAAGTCACTTTAACCTTGTTTGCCTCAGTTTCCTCATCTGTGAAATGAGCTGGAGAAGGAAATAGTAAACCACTCCAGTATCTTTGCCAAGAAAACCCCAAATGGGGTCAGGAAGAGTCGGACATGACTGAACAACAGCAAAAATATAGTCCAGTGTGGTTGGAGAGAGCCCTTGAGTCAAGACATCTGGGTTCTAATCCGGGTCATTTCTGGCCATTACATTTTTTATAAGCACATTCTCAACCTCGAACAAGTCCAAAACAATGTCCAAAGGACCAGGATGGCGAGAGCAAAGCAATCTTCTCTGGCCTCAGTTTTCTTCTCTATAAAGGGAGGAAGAGAACAAGCATTTATTAAGTGCCTACTATTTGCCATGTACTTTGCTAAGTGTTTTATGAATGTTATCTCATTTAATCCTTACAACAATGATAATAGCACAAGATGCTCTTATTATCCCCATTTTTACTGAGGAGAAAACTGAGGTTCAGAGAGGCTAAATTATTTGCCCAGGGTCACTTAGCTAATGTATTTGCAATCAAATTTGAACTCAGGTCTTCCTGACTCCAGGTCTAATGTTCTATCCACTAGGCCACCTAGCTGCCTAGGAAGTTAGATTTTATAATCTCTAAGTGCTCTACCATCTCCAGAAAGTCTTGATTTCATCTTGCCCCTTGGCCTGTGCTGCACCATCACCCCTTTTTCAATCAGTCAATTAACAAGGCATTTACAACATCAACTATGATAGCAACATTGTTGGGCACTACAATATGCACTAGAGATAAAAATACAAAAGAAAAAGAAAAGAAATAGAACCTGTCCTGTTATTTGTTCAGAAATGCACATATAACCCATGTGTCAGACCAAGACCTCTGACAAATGACTGGGTTTAACCTCAGAGTCTTTCTGTCTGTCTCCTCTCTCTTCTCTCCCTCTCCTTTCCTTTCTCTTTCCTCCTCTTCCTCCTCCTCCTCCTCCTCTTCCTCCTCCTTCTTCTCTCTCTCTGTCTCTCTGTCTCTTGTCTTCATATCTCTCCGTCTCCATCTGCTTCTTATCTTCCTCTTACCAAATGCATCTTACCTTCCTCTTCAATATTTCAGAAATCCAATATAATCACAAAATCTCATCTTGGGGTGGGATCTCAGAACTCATCCCAGTTTGACTACCCAACCAGGAGGCTATATGTGAGCAACAATCTATTCTACAAAATCCCTAACAAGTGATTAGTCAGCAAACACTCATTAAGTGCCCACTACGTGCCAGGCACTGTGCCAAGCGGTGAGGTTGCAAAAAATTATAAAAGACAGTTGCTGCTCTTAAGGAGCTCATGTTCTGATGGAGAAGACAGCATGCAAACAATTATGTGCAATTAAGCTGTATCTAGGATAAAGTGGAAATAATCAACAGAAGGAAGACACTGGAATTAAGAGGGATTGGGAAAAGTTCCCTATAGAAGGTGGGATTTTATCAGGGACTGTAAGGAAGCCAGGAGGCATCAATGAAAAGGGAAAGTAATCCAGATGTGGGCATAGCCAGTGAAAATGCCTGGAGGTGGAATGTCTTGTTTGAGGAACGGCAAGTAGGTCAGTGCCACTGCATTGAAGAGTACATGGTAGAGTGTAATGTACACAGAGAGTGGAAAGGTGTGCCAGCGTGTGTGCATGTGTGTGTGTGTTACAAAGGGTTTGCTGTTGTTGTTTAATATAGAACAGAGTGTTTTATATTCGATGCTGAAGTCGATAGGAAGCCATGAGAGTTTGTAGAGTGGCAGCGTGACATGGTCAGACCTCTGCTAAATTTAGGAAAATTCCTTTGACAGCTCATCCTTTGAGGATGAGCTGGAGTGGGGAGAGATTTGAGGAAATGAGCCCAACTAGCTGGTTCTGCTGAGTAAGGAGCAGGCCAATCCATGTTTGAATAGCTTTGATTATCAGAAAGTTTCTTCTTACAGGGAGAAGAAATCAGCCTCTTTGCCACTCCAGTCCATTGTTCCAATTTCTTCCAAGTGGGGCCAAGCTGAGCAAGTGGACTAGCCTTCCCCATCTTAACCCTTTCAATGCCTGAAGACAGCTATCATGTCCACTCCCATCCTTCTGTTCTTCAGGTTCAACATCCCCAAGTGTTTCTTGGACTAATTCTCCCATGACCTCTAATGCTCTCGCCATCCTGGTCCTTTGGACATTGTTTTGGACTTGTTCGAGGTTAAGAATGTCCTTGTAAAAAATGTAGTGGCCAGAAATGAGCACAATCAATTACCTATGGTCTAGCAGGGGCAGTGTAACAGGACTATCACTTCTCTGGTTTGGGATACTAGACCCCTCTTCTAGTGCAGTCTAACGTCAAATTAGCTTTCTTACCAGCCATGTCATTTTCTTGACTCACACTGAGTTGGCAGTCCATGTCCACTAAAAATCCCTTTGACTTAAAAAAAGCAAACAAACAAACAAACATGAACTGTTGTCTGGCTATGCCTCTCCATCTCATAGCTGTGCAAGTAATTTTTAGCCCCCTTTTCAGCTTCTAGATCATCCATAGCCTCCAGAAGAAATATGCTTATGGTAAGAAGCCAAGAGCCCCTAGAACAGTATAGAATACAACACAACGAACATGGAACTGAACTGAACATAAAAGAACAAGGGAATGGAACAGCACAGAATAAAATAGAATAGAACGTGATATGATTTAAAATTATATAGTAGATATAATGAACATCCAAGTGTCTGCTTTATGTCAACCATTGTGCTAGACGCTCCCTCTCGGCTAGCTGCTTCCCTGCTGTCTAGCAACATGTCTACGGCTCCCCATCCTGAAAAAAATCCTCACTCTATCCTTCCACTCCCCTGCCTCCTGCCGGTTATCACCCCATAGCTCTCTTCTGTTTGGTGGCTATACTTTTTGAGAAGACCTTCTATGATTGGTGCTTCCATTTCCTTCCCTTTCACTCTCTTAACTCTCAACAGTATGGTGTAAATAAGAAAATGTAAACAAATCACTTTGCAAACATTAAAGCATTATTTAATCCACCTGCTGTCATCCTAATTATTAGCATGTGGGGTTATTTAAAAGGTTCTGACGTTAAAAAGAGTCCTTGTCTTTCCATCAAGTATGTCTGATAACATCCAATATCCAAGCTGCATAGATAAATATCAGAAATAGGTAAGAACAAAAGCCACTCCCCAATGGTCAGTACAAACATTTCTCTTTTTTTTTGGGGGGGGGTAGGGGACTAGGAAATGGTGTTAAGCGACTTGCCTGGGGTCACACAACTAGTAAGTGTTATGTGTCTGAGGCTAGATTTGAACTCAGGTCCTCCTGAATCCAGGGCTGGTGCTCCATCCACTGTGCCACCTAACTGCCCCTAATATAAACATTTCTCAAAAGAATTGCAAACTATTAACAACCACATAAAGAATGCTCCTAGTCATTAAAAATAAGAGAAATGCAAATTAAATCAAGTCTGAGGTTTTACTTCATGCCCGGCAAATTGACAAAGATGACAAAAGATGAGAATAGTCATTGGTGACGAGGCTAAAGAAAGAAAGGCACACTGACACACTGTCGGTAGGGCTATGAATTGGTCCAACCATTCTGGAGTGCAATAATTATGCTTAGGAAAAAAGTCACTGAAATGTCCATATCCTTTAACCCCATAATCCCATTGATAGACATGTATCTCCAGGAAGCCAAAAGCAGAGAAGACCATAGAAGCATCCAAATATTCATGGCAGCACTTCCAGTCGTAGGAAAAAAACAGAAACAAAGGAGGTCCCATTGACAGACAAGTGGCTAAATACATTGTCGTACATGATTGTAATAATGCAATATGAGTAGGGACATAAGAAAAGATGATATGAATAATTCAAAGAAGAATGGGGATGCTCCTATGAATGAATGCAGAGCGAAATAAACAGAACCAGGAAAACAACATATGGGATGATTACAACAGTGTAAATGGAAAGAACAAAACCAAATGAAATGGGTTGCTGCACAATCATCACGACCAAGGTTGGCCCCAAAGGAGAGTTGAGAGAACACAGCTTTTTGTCTTCTTTACAGAGGTGGAGGACTATGGCTGGGGAATACTACGTACATTGTCAGATGCCACTGATATGTTTGTTAATTTTGCTGAAATAGTTTTTTTCTTTTAAAATCTTTGTTCCAAGGAATGGTTTTCTAGGTAAGGGAGGGAGAAGAAATCTATCTGGAAATGAAGATAATGCAAAACCCCCCAAAAGATATGAGAAAATAATTTTTAAAAGGGATCCATGTATGCCAAAAGGTTGGTAGCCACTGCAATGGATGGCGAACTCTGAGGTCTCTTCTGTGGAGATAGAATGCAAGCCTCGGGGCCAGGGACTATGTCGTGCCGTGTTGTAGTAGTAGGTCATAGGGTGTCATGCAACAGGAGTTGGTCACAGGAGAAATATTCTAGGACACTCTGTAACATTCTAAAATGACGGTGGAGAAAAGTCGGATAAAATGGAATTCCCCTTGAAGAAGCTGAGAAAGGCCCTGGGCTTGCTTGGGTAATCTCCCTCAGCCGTGTGGCACCGAAGAGAGGGTGAAGCCCATGTTTTCATCTTTTAAGCCCAAGTTGTTGTCGTTCGGTCATTTCAGTCCTGTCTCATTCTCTGTGACCCCATCTGGGGTTTTCTTGGCAAAGACACTGGAGTGGTTTGCCATTTCCTTCTCCAGCTCATTTTACAGATGAGGAAACTGAGACACACAGGCTGAAGTGACTTGCCCAAGGTAGCACAGCTAGTGAGTGTCTGAGGCTGGATTTAAACCCAGCTGTTCCTGACTCCAGGCCCGGTGCTCTATCCACCATGCCACATAGCTGCCCGAGTCCAAGTTACCTGTGTCTTAAAAGAGGAGGTGATGGGTCGTAGTACCTTGCTTTTGTAACAATCTAGGGTGCTATGAGGGATTCACATTCCCTTGGGAGGGATGAAGCTTCTCAGGGGAAATGAGCTGCTTCAGCAAAGGGTCCCTGAGGGGAAGGAGGTCGCGAAGGACACAACACAGACAGGGAGGGGGAATGACAGGAACAGTCTTTGCCTGGAAAGCAGCCTAGCCTGCCTGGCCCCAGCTCCTTCTGACTGGCTGGGTCCCCTCCTCCACCTGGGAAGGACGCAGCGTCCTGAAAGGCACTTGGCCAGCCCTTTCCCTAATATGTTTCCCACCACAAGGGAAGGAGACAGTGTCCTGAAAGGCAGTTGGCTAGCCCTTTCACCTATATAGAGCCTGGGGCCAAGAGATCAGGTGACTGATAGCCCAGAGACCCAGACAGAAATACCCCAAGCTAAAGCCACTCTTGTCTATGGGGCAGGGGAGGAGAAGGGGTGGGGATGTATTCCAAAAGGGTCACATTTCAGAGAGCTGGTGGGTCACTCCCGGCAAGGCCTCTCTGTGGAGCCAGGAAATTTTCTCCAAGGTCGCACGGGCCCACAGGCTGCACCAGCTTCCTGGTAGAAGGGGTCATAGCCCTGTCTCCTGATTCTAGAGCGTTTTGAGATACCCAGAGGCCTAGGCAGCTAACACCACTGCCTTAGGACCAAGGCCTCTGGACACAGACTCCTGATGTCCCAACTACCCACTGTCTCCCTCTCAGCCCTCCCCAGCCGCCACCCCCACCCCACAAAAAGGGATTAATTAGGTTGCTTTGTTGGGCATCTATTCTGCATGAGGACCGTTGCTTAGGGTCTATTTCCATCCTGTCCATCCTCTTCTCCTAGCCCTAGGCCCTGGGCTTCCAGCTACTCTGACTCAGTCCAGAACTCAGGTCAGGGCTTTGGGGGGAGGGTGAGAAGGGCATTCTAATGAAGACAGTCATCATCCATCCTGGATGCCACCCTGGGCCAGCCCCTCTGCTCCAACCAATTGGGCTGGGGAAAGTGTGTGAGGGTGGGGTGGGGAGGAGGGAGCACAGTCCACTGGGCTTGTAGACAAGAATCACAGCTCGTTTGTCAGGAAACGTGATGGAACAAGCTGGCTAGCCAGGGATTTACCAGGCAAGATGATAAGGGAGGGGCTGAAGTTTAGGGGGTGGAGGGGAGGGACTAGGGACTAGAGGTCAGTTTTTCTAGGTATCCTTCCCAGATTGGCTCCATTTCCTGTCCCCTTAGGCCCAGAACTCTGAATGCTGAGGGAGAAACTGAGTTGGTTTGGGGCAAGGGGTGAACCTCTGCACTGAGGCTTTCACTGGGAAACTAAGGAAAAGATTCCTAGCTGGGCCAAAGTTTCTCTCAAGCTAGACTCTTCAGGGTAGGAGGTTGGAGCAAAGCTTGTGTGTGTCAGTGGGAAAGGGAGGGAAGAGGAGAGGACCTGGGGTAGAGTCAGGTGGATTCTTCCATTTCTGGTGGAGCTCTAGAGTGGAATACTGGAAAGAGCCCTGGGCCTGGATTCCAGAGGCCTTATGTTCAAATCCTTGCCCTGTCACTTACTAGCCGGATGTTAGGCAAGTGGCTTACTCTCTCAGATTCTTTTTCCTTCTCTGTAAAATGGGAGAATTAGACCACATGACCTTGAAGTCCCAAATCCTATGATCTGTGATTGCGTCTCTTTCCAGTTTCTCCTCTTTCCTTTCTGTCCCCCTCCCAAAGAGACAAGGATGCTTTCTTCCTTTTCCTCTTCCCAGAACTGAAGACAGGATGAGAGGATCATAGATTTTAGAGACAGGAGAGACCTCAGAGGCCATCTAGACCAAATGGGGAAACTGAGGCTAATAGGCTCCCAGATCTTAGAACTAGTTCAGTCGAGTCTGACTCTTTGTGACCCCATTTGGGGTTTTCTTGGCAAAGATACTGGAGTGGTTTGCCATTTCCTTCTCCAGTTCATTTGACAGATGAGGAAACTGACACCAACAGGGTTAAGTGACTTGCCCAGAGTCATACAGCTAATAAGTATCTGAGACTAAATTTGAGCTGAGGAAGAGGAGTCTTCCTGACTCCAGGCCTGGCGCTCCATCCACTGTGCCACCAGCTGCCTTCTCTGGAATTGCCTCTAACTACAAAGGCCATCTAGTCCAATGCCTTCATTTTATAAATGAGGAAACTGAGGGCCAGAGAGGTTTTGTGATTTGCTCTAGGACACACAGGTGGTATGGGCCAAAGCAAGTTCTGAACCCAAGTCCTTTGACTTGACACAAGGTTATTTTTCTCCAAGGCCTTGGACCTTTGGGGGTTGGGAGCATTGGTCTTAACTCTGCCCCTCAGAACCCAGAAAGCTTCAGGGTAGAGTGGTGTCCGCCATCAACCCGATCCCCAACGAAGGCACAGATTGATGGGCTCAGGACACCATCTGTACATCTTAACATATCTTAAGGCTTCCGGGAGCAGGGCGGCCCCTGCTGGCCACAGGCAGCACTACAAAATCTGAATAGCGGTCCGGCAGAGGAAGGGGCAGGGCCTGTTACCTCCAGCTTGTGAGGTCTAGGAGTTGATGTGAGTGCCTGGGAAGGAGGGAGGGAGGGAAAGCCCCAGGTGGAGGATACCAGGGTGGGGCTGTTAGGTAATCAATCGATCCGAAGCTGGGGAACCTGGACTTTGCTCACTCCAAACCCTGTACATTATCAGTAGCACACTCCCAAGTTCCTCCTTCCTTTCTTCTCCGCTTAATCACTAAATTGTTATCGTAGGATTATAGATTTAGAGCTGGAAGGGATTTCTGGGGGCATCAAGTTCAATCCTCTCATTTTACAGTTGAGGAAACTGAGGCTAAAGTAATTTGCCCAAGGTTATACAATTGGTAAGTGTCTCAGGCTGGTTTTCAAGTCAGGTCTTTCTGACACCAGGCCCAGCATTGTAGCCATTGGGCCACTCATCCTCATCATTATTATAGCTAATGCTTACATAGCTCCAGACACTTTACAAATATTATCTCATTTAATCTTCGTAACAACCCTGTGAGGTAGTACCCTTATTATCCCCATTTTACAGATGAGGAAACTGAGGCAAATAGAGGTTAAGTGACTTGTCCAAGATCACACAGCTAAGTAAATGTCTGAGACAGATTTGAAGTCACCA